GAGATATGTTTGGTAAGAGGGGAGCTGTCCTGTCTAGATGGTCTACCCTGTGAAAGAACATCTGGTGAATCCTCACTCAGTCTGAGATGGTAGTTCAGACCAGGGTTGCGTCTCAAATGCCACCCTATTCCCTACATAATGCACTACTTTTGACCAGGGCCCATAGGGTTCTGAGCAAATTAAGTGTACTATATAGGGAATAGGGTGCCATTTGGGACGTGGGCAAAAGTAGTGCACAATTTAGGGAATGGGGTGCCATTTCGGATTGCCCCCCTGGTGTAGATCTAACCATGTGAAATGTATCTTAATGATCTGCATTAAACGTTTTCTTTCCATCTACAGGCCTCCTCCAATACTTTTATGACTCCATTAAACTCCTGCAGCGAGGTTCTGGAATGCTGAGTGGAGAGTTGTATCAACCCAATTAGCTGTTTCAAACGGCCGTTTTGAAGGTGTGTGTGTGCAGAGAGTTTTGATTAAAGTTTGAAAGGGAAGATTCAGCGATTATACCAAGGGATTTTCAAATCCACTGTTCCCTGCCTGCCACCCTTTCACAGCGGTGCTTTCTTTAGATGTCCAGGGTACACACACAAACACAAACACACACACACACACACACACACAGCCAGGGTCTATAGGGAGAAGGGAGATAGGGAACTAGCCAGGCAGATATGGAAGAAAGGAACGCTCAAGAGGTGCTGTTGAACAAAGGCTGTTTGGGAGATAGGAGCTACAGGAGACTATCATGTGGATATGAGCCTTGCGATAAGGGTTTCCCTCCAGCAAGAGGAGACACACAGGGGCTGCGTCCCAAATGACACCCTACTCCTTCCTCAGTGCACGACTTTGGACCAAAGCACTATGGGACCTGGTCACACACATGTACATACACAAACTAGCCACTGTTCCTCTATTGGTTTAATTCAGTTGGTACTACATCATTTGTGTACCTCATGTTTCCCTGTATCAGTCGGAATAGCAACAATAAGTCATTTAACATACCAAGTATTTTTTCTTTCATAAGTTAATTCAAAGTTTAGGGTATGCTCTTCATCTAAAGGATATAATTAACCAATACATAAATACGTAAACAAAACCACATCCAACAGATGGGAGTCTGCTTCTATTAGTAAGTCGCTCTGGATAAGAGCGTCTGCTAAATGACGTAAATGTAAATGTAAATGTAGTAAAGTAATTAATTCACTTTGCCTAAGGAGTAGTTGTGTTCTTCTTTTCCAATCTTTGTGTATAGGTGTGTGTGTTTGTGTGCGTGTGTGTTTGTTTGTACCTTTTGAAGGTCCCTTGATCTATCTGTTCTAGATGTTTCGTGAATACTGTGTAAATGTACCATTTTACACACCATCTCAACAGTCTCCTTTGCTTATAAGCAACGTTTAAAAAAAACAAGTCTGCTAACATTCTTCTTCTTAACATAATCAGAGGTGACAGGACAGGAGCAATCTTTTTTTTTGTCACTCTCACGTTGTGAAAAAACACATTTTCATTGTAATAAATGTCCCAAATGGCACCCTATTCCCTATAAAGTGAACTACCCTGGTCGAAAGTAGTGCCCTACATAGGGAATAGGGTGCCATTTGGGATGCATACCTAGTCGATTCAAGAGTGATATTAACACGTTCCTCAGCTGGTAACTGTTATCCTGTCCTCCAGACGAGAGGTTTGAAAGGTCAAAGGTGAAAAGTGAAGGGTCATCTTACCGTCGTCCAGGTCAGGTATGATGGTGACCCTGGCAGTGTGGTACTCCTGTCCCAGACGGCCTCCCATGGGCATACTGAGGGTAACGTTGAAGCTCTCCTCTTCTTCATACAGAGAGTCATCTATGATCACCACACGACAGGACTTCTCCGTCTCGCCCTTATCAAAGCGCAGGACACTGTTGTGTTCCTCAGGTCTGGATATGTAGTCAGAATAGGACAGGACTGTAGTGGGGATGGTCCCTGTAGCTGTGGCTGTAGGAGAGAAAAAACGAGAGAGGGATGAGAAGAGAGGGAGAGATGGAGAGGAGAGAGGACTCTAGCAGGGACATTACCTGAAGCTATGGTGTGTGTGTGTGTTTGCGTTTGCGTGTGGACTGTACCTTGCTGTGTGTAGCAGATGAGCATGAGTTCCTGTGTGATGTCACCACTCCTGCGTACTGGGATCAGCAGCTCCCCGATGTCCTCCTCTATAGGGTAGACTGCAGACGGGATGAACACTGTCGACTCTGGGGGGACAGGGCGAGAGAGAGGGGGGGGGGGGGGGGGGGGGGGCAGAGAAAGAGAGTCAGAGAGAGGGGGAGGCAGCGTGAGAGAGAGGGGGGAGACAAAGAGAGAGAGAGAGAGAGAGAGATAAACCATCACATCCTACTCACTGTGTACGTACTTAATACAGAAGCTATGCTGATGAGAAGAGGGTACAACGATGCGTTGAATATTTCTGTCTGAGTTACAGCATATTACTGTTGGTGCTCTGGTCCAGGCTCCTCTCTGAGGACTTAACAGAGTTCTATAAAGGATGTGTTGACCCAGTGAACGTAGGCAGACTATCAGAAGACATAGTCTGTGTCGCAAATGGCACCCTATTCCCTATATAGTACACTCCTTTTGACCAGAGCCCTATGCAGGCCCTGGTCAAAAGTAGGGCACTATATTGGGAATAGGGCGTCATTTGGGATCCATACAGGGGATATGATGTCTAACATCAGTGGTTGGCACATACAACTACCTAGAAGCCTCTCTGATTTGACAGCTGACACACAGGGACCTATCAGGGAAATACGTATACATTTAGTGAATTGTTAATAGGAGTCCAGCTTCCGTACTGTAGACTTCACATGTGAGGAAGAACAGTAAAAGTGGGCCTGGATAATAAACCTGACGTGTCTTGATTCTGTTAGCAAGCAGAGACCTGTTTAAACCATTGGTATTTTTTTACAGTCTGTATTACAGTCACTCCCCCTGTTCTGTCCTTTCCTCTCCTTGTCTCCTTCTCTCCTCTCCTCCTTTATTCTGCATAGCATGACTGTGTCTAAGTTACTAGACCTGAGTTACATCCCAGAGGCCTACACTAAGAAGTACCTACCTCACATAGACAGGTTTATAATATTCTCTCTATCACTGTAATGTTTCTTCTTCTTAAAACCTATTCTTTACTCTGATTCTGAATCTGGACGTCTGTGCTAATAAGGTACCAGTGTGCCAACAGGGCCTGAACTCTCAAAAACCCCAACAGTCCCACCTGACCAATTACTGACTGACCAGGACACTGGACCAATGGCTCCCTGCCCTGCCCAGCCCTGTCTTGGCTAAACAAGTAGATGTTCTATCTCCTACTCAGGCTGGCAGAACCTTCAGGCTTATAGCCCTTAATACCAGCTCCTACCAAGGCAGAACATACTCTAAGTTCCAAGCTGACAGGCCTTAATGTGGATAGTTTCTCTTCTCTCTCTCTCTCTCTCTCTCTCTCTCTCTCTCTCTCTCTCTCTCTCTCTCTCTCTCTCTCTCTCTCTCTCTCTCTCTCTCTCTCTCTCTCTCTCTCTCTCTCTCTCTCTCTCTCTCTCTTTCTCTGACTAAACTTGAACTATTTTGACAGTTGAAGAGATTCAGATTTAAAGGAGCTGCTAGAAACTGGGTTAGTTGTAAGATAAGTCCCAAATGGCACCCTATTCCCATAGGGTTCTGGTCAAAGGGAATAGGGTGCCATTTGAGACACAGACATACTCTGAGAAGCTGGGAAATCATGGAAATCTAAAATAGTATTTTCATATGTTAATGTATAAACATGTTTGTGGTCATGAAGCAGAATGATATGTTAATGTCTAACGCTAAAATATTAATATTGATGTTGATAGCAAGTTTTCTTTAATTTCCCTCAAGGGACTAAGGTTTTTTGTGAGACAAACAGTACCATCCTCCATACATTTTAACCAACGTAAGTTGTTGACAGAATATTCCTCCTCTCACACAGCGGGACCCCAGAGGGGGAAGGAGAGGAGAGGCATTTATATGTACATTATGCAAGAGCTTCCCTCCCTCAGCCTTCCAACTACAGTATCACAGGGGAATTAACGGCTTAGCTGCTGTTTTTAAAAACATTGTTTTTCTGAACTGTATTTAGATACTTTAACTCCGTCCCTAATAGCATCCTATTCCCTATGTAGTGCACTACTTTTGATCAGGGCCCTTAGGGCTCTGGTCAAAAGTAGTGCACTAAATAGTGAATATGGTGCCATTTGGGACACAGACCTTGTGTAAACAACATGAGAGCCCTGGGAAGGCTCCAGTCTAGTGTTGTCCATCCATACCCTGGCCCCGACCATAACCATGGGATTCTCCATACCCAATTTAACTTGTTTATTTACCTTTCTGGAGAAAACAACTTCCCATATGGATTACTGTTGCAGTGCTACTGATCACTATATCTAACCTGGGGTTGGAATACTCCGGTAACCGTCCCAAAATTCCCAAGTTTTCCAGAATCCCGGTTGGAAGATGCCTGGAATCAGGAGTAATTCAGGGAATTTGGGAATTTTGCAACCTTAATTCCAAGTATAACACCCATGTTGGTTTCCATGATGTGACCAATATGATAGTCTCCTGTCTCCATTTACTCAGGCAGGCAGGCTAAACCCAGGTCTAAAACTTTACTCTCAGTCTCATCATGATTTCATGCTGTGGTTAAGATGGACTATGCTCTGTTGCTAAGTGCAGGCTCTGGGGCCAGGCCAGGGATTGATAAGAGGCAGAGAGCAGCTTCACTAACAGAGAGCAGCTTCACTAAAACAGAGCAGCTTCACTAACATGGGACACACTAATGAAGCTGAGGAAGGTCCATGTCTTGTTATCCACTGACCTGGATGTTCTCACCCACCTACTATAAAACCCGGCCTCTCCCATAGAGATAACCTCAGACCAATCATCTCTGTTAAGACTGATGAATAATCTACCTGTAGTAATGACTTATTAAACATTAGTCATTTGAACCCTACACTGTTTAGACTGTTAAAACAAGCTACTCTGGATCATGGAACTGTAGTACATACCATCAGCTGGGTCGAGGATCTCCACAGTGGCTGTGTCAGGGAACTCCAGGGCAGCCATGACAGGTTCTGACAGAACAATCTGGAAGGTCTCAGACTGCTCGTACACGCCATCCTGCAGGATCCTCACCCTCCATGTAGCCGTGGTCTGACCTGGGTTAAACTGGACCTGCTTCTGGGCTTTACCACGGAAGTCCTTATCCTTCTCTGCCGTACCATCTCTGGTGCCGATGCCTGGGCAAGGAGGGAGGAGAGAGGAGAGGAGAGAGGGGAGGAGGAGGAAGAGGAAATGATTACATGTAAATAATACAAATGTTCTTATAATGTGGCATTCAATAACATAAGGTCAAAAGGTAGCATCCAGATATAATAACTAGTCAACAACTGAGAACAGAGCCCAGTCAGAGATGGAGTTCAGAGAAGCAGTCAGCGTTAGATGAAGTTGTGATGTGTCAGCTAGCAGATGGCCCTGACGTGGACCAGGAGGAGGGAGTATGGTAATCACATAATTACTTGGAGGAGGGGATGGTAATCAGGATGGTAATCAGGATGTCCTGACAGCAGAGTCTCTCTATCTGGCCCCTAGTGGTCTGACTGAACACAGAGGACACTGTAATATCTGTCAATCTTACCAAGGTCAATTACCTCCCATGCCACATTGGGAGATAATTTTGCTTCCTTTCAAGACAGATTACCTTGACATAATTAAACTATCTTGTGGGTAAAGCAGAATCAACTTAAAACAAGGTTGTCTTTGCAGGTAGTGTAGAAGTACTGGTAGATTTACATTGTTGTTACTGCCCAGCCTACTGAGTCTAGCCTGCCCGGCTGGCTGGTGGTAGTTTGTGCCTGTGTTGTTTGATCAGACCTGCTGTCACTGATGGCTGGTGACGATGGCAGGACTCCTGCTGTTCAGCTAGCTACACAACCACGATGAAGCGTGACACACACACACTCCCTGCGCTAGCTCCCAGCAGGAGGTCCCCAGTAAATAAATGATAGCAGCCGAGCAGACCCCATGGCTGGCTCGCTCTGAGATAGACCAACAAAAATATAAAGAAATAAATAATAGTAATAATAACAAACAAACAAATAAATGAAGAAGCAGATACTTTCCACACTTCCTCGGAACAGAGCGAGAGAGATAACGCGAGAGAGAGAGAGAGAGAGAGAGAGAGAGAGAGAGAGAGAGAGATTCAAGTGAGGAAGAGAGAAGACAACACTAAAGAGCTTCAATGGTGCACAGATGGAGGCAGAAATGTATGAGTTGGGGTTTTGGACCAAAATTACCATTTAATTCTTTGAAGAAATGAATGGGAAAGTGAGCTTTGATATGCCAGCATCGAGAAGGGAAAAGGGCCCTGTACGTGTTCATGGGGCTCCTACAGTTCTTGCTGACATGTGTTCATAGATAACATGGATGAGCTCAACAGAGCCGGGATATATATCACCTGTCTTCAAAGAGCAGGTCGAGAAGCGGGAAGGAAGGAGCACAGTTGGCTCCCTAACTCTGTCTGAATCCCAAATGAGACCCCCTATCCCCTACATAGTTCACTACTTTTTACCAGAGCCCTATATGGGTTCTTGTCAAAAGTAGTGCACTATATAGGGAATATGACACTATTTGGGACGGAGGCTCTGTCTCTCTCACAACAGAAGGAGGACTACAGCGCCCTGATCCCAGCAGCAGCTCTAGGCCTAGCAGCAGGCCTGGGTTCAAATGCTATGACATTTTAGCTTTAGCCTATATAGCAGCAGGCTAGCTCTACATAGCTGCTAGACTAGCACCTCCCGTGACGCACGCGACACTACCGAATGCCTCACAACGTCCAATAAATAAGTATTGCGCCATATAGGGAATAGGGTGCATTTTCAGACGCATCCTAGGTCTTGTGATCAGGGCTGGGATGGAGCAGATATCCTCTGTCTCCTTCTGTGTGAAGCACTGGCCTGAGATCAGATCAGTACCCAGGCAGATGGGTAGCGGGTCTGTCAGACTGATCTGAAAGGTTTGGCTTTCTCTTTCCGTCTCCCTCCATCCTTTGAGGTTTGAGATCCATTAAACACATTGAGGAGCAGAAAGGAATGCCAGTGTGCTGTGTGTGCTTCTGGAGGCTTTCCTAATGGCACCCTATTCCCTATATAGTGGCCTACCATAGGTCTCTGGTTAAAAGTAGTGCACTATGTAGGGAATAGGGTGCCATTTGGGATGCACTCCGAATTTCTCCTGTTCTGTCCTGCCTAACCTCGTATAAGCACACTGCTGGAGAGACAGAACATTTCACTGATGCAATGATGTTCGTCTGAGAAATATATCCATGTACTCTCAAATACTATCACATTTAGGGGAGTACCGTAGAAACCTCTTTTAATATCTTTTAAAAACAGTTTCAAAAGTTTACACAGTATGGAATTGAGTTATTTCTCTTCGTAATCAGAAATGCTAATCAGTTAACCCATTAGAAGGGTGATATAACCCTCTTCTTTGTGTTCTTCAAGAAAAAGAGACTTCCTTAGTTCCTTTACTCTAATTGAAGAGGGCAGACCCTTGAGATAGTCTAATGGTCATATTATTTGCATATCATCTGCATATTATCTTCATACCCCACTGAGGGAGAGTGAGATCATTAGCTAGCAGAGACACAGGGCTGCTTTTGACCAGAGCCCTGTGGCCAACAATTGGCCCTGGTCCAAAGTAGTGCACTTTATGGCCCCGTGTAGCTCAGTTGGTAGAGCATGGCGCTTACAACGCCAGGGTTGTGGGTTCGTTTCCCACGGGGGGCCAGTATGAAAAATGTATGCACTCACTAACTATAAGTCGCTCTGGATAAGAGCGTCTGCTAAATGACTAAAATGTAAAATGTAAATGTATATAGAGAATATTTCGGGCCATTTGTGACGCACACAGGGACAACGTAACACACCACAGCCTCAAAGCTAGCAAAGACACAGGGAGACACAGCTGGGGACAACTCAATACACCTGACCCATGTGATCTGACCTCAAACTTCAGCTATTCAAACTAGCATAGCTTTATTGATATCCCGAACATATTGGGATTCCGGACAAAAACAATGAAAACAATACCAGTGGTGTCAGTAGTATGGGTTCCAGTCAGCCATAAAACCTTTGTTATAAACCCTGTGTATAAACTTTGTGTTATAAAACTAAGGTTTACTGTCCCATCTATTGTTGCACTGTGTTTATTCACTATTCAGTCCAGGACAGTAAAATGTAAGGAATGTTCACAGAGAGTGGCGTCTAACTCTGCGACAGCGGGCATCTTTCTGACGACCACCAACTCCACGTAACCGCTCCCATGAGCCCTTGCTGTCCCCAGGAGGGTCGTCCTGTCTGATCGGCTAAAAGGATAAATCCTGCCCTGAGGAGAAGGGTCAGGGGTGAAAGGTCGTGACCTGTATGACCCTGAAGTTGTCTGTCCTTCCCCTGCTCTGTCAAGAGATTGGCCCTCTGCTATTCTTGGTGTGCGTCCCAAATTGCACCCCTCTATTTGTTCTCCAAGGCTATGTCCCAAATGGCATATAGAGTGCACTACTTTTGTCAGGACACCCATTAACATTCCTTTCCTTTCAAAAATGTGTGAATTGGACGAGGAGTGACAGTTGGCTCTTAGATCTAGGGGCAGGTGATGTCACTGGGCCATGCTAACTCAGCCATCCGCTACATTTTTTTTACATTTTACATTTTAGTCATTTAGCAGACGCTCTTATCCAGAGCGACTTACAGGAGCAATTAGGGTTAAGTGCCTTGCTCAAGGGCACATCGACAGATTTTTCACCTAGTCGGCTCGGGGATTAGAACCAGTGACCTTTCGGTTACTGGCACAACGCTCTTACCCACTAAGCTACCTGCCGCCCGTTACATGAACATGAAAGGCTGAAAAGCTGTGGAGCTTCCCTGGAGGGATAGAGCCAATGATGTCATTATGATGTCTATGGATGTCCTGACTGATGGGAAGAGAGTGCCATTTGGGATGCAGCCAATGTGTATAAGGATGTGTATAATAAGAAGGTAGTTTGACTCACTGATGAAGGATGTCTCTCCCAGGTATCCTCGTCGTTTGAGGACCACCTCCAGGTACTTGGCCTCCTCGTCCACCACATAGTACTCCTTCTCCAGGGAGACCCAGGCCCAGTTCAGCCTGAACACCTGGTTCTTCAGCTTGTTGCCTCCTAAACACACACACATAAACCTGATTATCAGCACCATCAGAGAGGATCACTTAATAATGTGTCTTATGTGCCACTTTGCAGACAAGTGACTTACAGTACAGTGAGTACAGGAAACACACACACACATTTTAAATACTTTATTTGAATCCACAAATTACATTACATCAAGTGCTAGTGTCGTTCTGTGTTGTTGTTTGTCAACAACAGCAAAAAACGGAGATCGACATGAGAGGGAATTCATTCAGCAAAGACACTGGAAGAAGTTGAGTTTCTGAACACATTATCTGCACTTCAAAACATTTATAATGGAAAAGCTGTTTGTTTTCAGGACATGTTCCTATCTCAATATCTTTTCATTAGAATCATTTCATGGCCGTTTTATGGGAACCTGTAGGACAGCTAGACTCCCTGCCTATATTCGGTGGGAGGCATCAGTATCAGCACAAACACATGCGCATGCACATGTGCACACACACAAGAACAAACAGCCTGCCAGTATATTCAGTGGGAGGTATCAGTGCAGATGAGGAAGTATAAAGTAGAAGGTTTAATTGGCTTCATTGTAATTAAGAGATAAAGGTTAGTCTCTGTGTGTGTATGTATGTGTGTGTGTGTGTGTGTGTGTGTGTGTGTGTGCGTGTGCATGTGTGTGTGTCAGGGTTGTTTTATTAGTCCCGTTTGAAGTGGAATTCAAAGCTCTGTATTCCTGGAGGGCAGCACTGCTACCGTACTGACCACAGAGAGAGCGACACCACACACAGACATCAAACACACACACACTCAAAATGATAAATCATAAAACGTAGGCGCTTACACATACGCAGACACATACACACGTGCACGCGCATGCAAGCACACACACACACACACATACTATTGCCATTATTATTATTAACAGCAGGGTTATAACAGTGGCTCCAAGCCCCTTAGCCTAAACAGAACAGTGTGAAATGAGGTATGACGGGAATGGAGGGAGAAAATGGAGAGGAGGGAGATGGAGGAATGAAGGGAGATGAGGGAGATGAAGAGATGATGGGAGAGGAGGGAGGGAGGAATGAAGGGAGATGAGGGAGATGGAGGAATGAAGGGAGAGGAGGGAGATGGAGGAATGAAGGGAGAGGAGGGAGATGAAGAGATGATGGGAGAGGAGGGAGGGAGGAATGAAGGGAGAGGAGGGAGATGGAGGAATGAAGGGAGAGGAGGGAGAGAAAGGATGAAGAGAGAAAAGAGAATGGAGGGATGAAGGTAGAGGGAGACAGACCCAGGTGTTTCTACAGTACAGCTGGACAGCTGGCAGATGTGAGGTAGGAGGAATGAAAGAATGCAAGAGAAACCACTCCCTCAAATTCTAATATGGACTTCGAAGCCAGTTCCACTGCTGTTTTTCCCATTGTTCTCCTCTAATCAGGGAATGATTTAGACCTGGGACACCAGGTGGGTGCAATGAATTATCAGGTAGAGCAGAAAACCAGCAGTAGTCCAGACCTCATAGGGTAGAATTTGAATACCACTGCCCGATATATTGCACTACATTTGACCAGAGCCCTATGGGCCCCTGGTCAAAAGTAGTGCACTATTTAGGGAATAGGGTGCCATTTGGGACACATACTGTTCTGGGTATTGTTCTGGGTTTACAGACGGCTGAGTCTGTTAGGGGTTGGCACCACTACTGAGACCCTAACCCCCCCCCCCCCACCCCCCCACCCCTCTCTCTCTCTCCTCTCCTTCATTCTGCCCTTCCCCCTCCCCAGTTGTCATGGTCAGTAAATCTGTCATGTCCAGTCGACCGCTCTGCTATGTAGCCTTTTCCCTTTCAAGAGAGGGTGAGACCTACACATTCACAAGGGTGTTACTGTTTTATTGTGTGTGTGTGTGTGTGTGTGTGTGTGTGTGTGTGTGTGTGTGTGTGTGTGTGTGTGTGTAGAAGGGCATGTAGCATAGTGAGTGTGTGGAACCGTGGCCTATACTGCACCTGTTCATTGCTGTTTCATGTGGTCTAATAGATTAACGTTAAAATGACAATGATACGGCTGAACTAACATAGAAGATGATGGAGAATAAAGTGAAGATGACGAAGGTAGAGCTAAATAAAGTGGAGATGATGAGGATACGGCTGAACTAACTGAAGGGCTGACAGTTTTCTGGCTCATCTTCAAAGTCTGATTGTTTCCACGGTAATGGGTTCCGTCAACACGGTTCTAGATGAAAGAGAAGAGGTATCCTAGAACTACAACCCAGTGATCTCTAGCTGCTGATGGTTCAGTACTATATTAATGTAAACCAAGCTACTACATCCATGCCACTGGCCCCATGTTTCCCAAGCCTGTCCATTCTCAGGGGTTAAGGGCATACTGGGAGTAGAGTTGGGTCTAATAACTCTCTACTTTAATAACTCCTGCAGGAGTGAAAATAGCTTTTCCCCCTGTGTATGTTCTGGATTACTCTGCTGGAACAGAGGGGTGTGTGTGTGTGTGTTTAGACCTCCGTACCTTGTACTAGGGCTTAGAGGGAGCAGCTAGACCCATGCCACAGGTAAGCACAGTGTGTGTGATCTCTGAGTCGTGAAGGCTACTGGTCTAAATCACCTGGCCCTCTACCACCACAGACATAATCTCTTTATAGAAAACTGCCACAAGGTCCTCGTTTCCTTCCAGAACTCATTCAACAACCTGTAAAGTTATACAACTACGCTAATAAGCACTCACAGCTGTTGTAAGGGACTTCAGACCGACTAAAATGTTGTTAAGAGAAGACGGATCTTCCTAACTTTCTGGGTATGCTGGATTAAAGTTCGGATCTTGTTTTGGAAAGCTTGGCATCGTCTCTGCGTTTACCCTATGTTGTTAATGTTAGCCTGATACACATCTGAGGTGAGAGGAGATGAATAGTAACAGCAAAGGCATCCCAAATAGCACCCTATTCCCTATATAGTGTTCTACTTTTGAAAAAGAGAGTAGGGGTGCCATTTGGAATGCACAGTTTGTCTTTAGTGTCAGTTACCCACAGGGACGTCCTGAGACCATGTATAGGTATAATACTGCACCAGTCTGCCTGTGCCCCGGTCATATGTCTCATTGTGAACATTACATGGTGGCATGATGTCTAATCATTTACATTACGCTGGAGACATAAACATTCTCATCAAGCTACACTTCAAAGGTACCTTCCTCCACTTTACTTCTACATTAAGCACTTTAAAGATCACCTTCTTGTGGGCAGGAATAGTAGCCAACATGGAGAGGGCAAAATCCAAAGCTGTGCAATACCTTCAGAATGTAAGAAACTTTTTACATTCATAATTCAGGAATATCAGTAAATAAATTATTTATCATATGAGCCAGTCATCATCAGGTTTGGGAAGCCAGAATAACCACACCACTGGTGCTTGTGTTAGGCAGCTGAAGTGTGTTGGTGCATAGAGGTGTGTTGGTGCAAGGAGCCAGAGGTCCATTTCCCTCCATAAGGTTATTTTTCAGTAATTAAGATAAGCAGGAGTTGAAGTAAGAACACTTCAAAGAGGCCCTAGAAAAACATCTCAGTTAATCTTTAACTGCCACCCAGGGCCAATCTGCTGAGCTAGAGGTTAGCTGTCTAAATTGGTTTCCCATATTCCTCTCATTCCCAGCCAAAGGACAAGGAGTCACTAGTCACTTTTTTCGAAAGTATACACCAGACTAAAAACCTAACCTAGCTAATGTCCTCTGTTGCCAGTCCCAGAGTTACTTTAGATTAGACTCTTGATCTATGTAAATGGAGTCACACAGTGCTCATTATAGAGGGACAGTCATGTTAATGGAAAAATAAATTAGATTAAATATGTTAATTCACCTATTCTCCCATGTCAATCTAGCTTTATTGTTGATACCAATGTGTGTCAGCGTGAAGCTTTCATCATGGTATTGTACTGTTAAAAGTAACTGTACTGGGCTGTGTTGTGATAGACTGGAGAACTCTGTGAGGGAGGCTAATGAATGTAGGTGGCTGAGCTGAGTGGTCCCCTACACAATCAAATCAAATCAAATTGTATTTGTCACATGCGCCCAATACAACCGGTGTAGACCTTACAGTGAAATGCTTACTTACAAGCCCTTAACCAACAACGCAGTTTTAAGAAAAATAAGTGTTAAGTAAAGACGTGTGTATGTGTGTATACATGTACATATGAATATATGTATATATATATATATATATATTTGCGAGAAAAGAAAACATGGGGGATTGGAAGTGATGCAGGCAATTACATTGATGGAAGTTACAATCTGCATCAATGTAACTGCATATTAAAGCTGATCTACCCCCCCAAAAAATAAAATATAATTATAATAAATAAAGACCAGCAGTAAAATAACAGTAGCGAGGCTATATACAGGGTGTACCGGTGCAGAGTCAATGTGCGGGGGCACAGGTTAGTCAAGGTAATTGAGGTAATATGTACAGTGAGGGAAAAAAGTATTTGATCCCCTGCTGATTTTGTACGTTTGCCCACTGACAAAGACATGATCAGTCTATAATTGTAATGGTAGGTTTATTTGAACAGTGAGAGAAAGAATAACAACAAAAAAATCCAGAAAAACGCATGTCAAAAATGTTATACATTGATTTGCATTTTAGTGAGGGAGATAAGTATTTGACCCCTCTGCAAAACATGACTTAGTACTTGGTGGCAAAACCCTTGTTGGCAATCACAGTGGTCAGACGTTTCTTGTAGTTGGCCACCAGGTTTGCACACATCTCAGGAGGGATTTTGTCCCACTCCTCTTTGCAGATCTTCTCCAAGTCATTAAGATTTCGAGGCTGACGTTTGGCAACTCGAACCTTCACCTCCCTCCACATATTTTCTATGGGATTAAGGTCTGGAGACTGGCTAGGCCACTCCAGGACCTTAATGTGCTTCTTCTTGAGCCACTCCTTTGTTGCCTTGGCCGTGTGTTTTGTGTCATTGTCATGCTGGAATACCCATCCATGACCCATTTTCAATGCCCTGGCTGAGGGAAGGAGGTTCTCACCCAAGATTTG